CTGCTGAAGCCGGGGCTGCATCTTCCAACAAGACAACCACCCTAAACACTGCTCAAAAATATACTAAGGCCTTCATGCAGAGGAACAAGTACAACGTTCTGGAGTGGCCATCTCAGTCCCCAGACCTGAATATTATTGAAAATCTGTGGTGTCACTTAAAGAGAGCTGTCCATTCTCAGAAACCATCAAACCTGAATGAACTAGARATGTTTTGTAAAGAASARTGRTCTAAAATACCTTCAGCCACAGTCCAGACTCTCATTAGAAGCTATAGGAATAATTTAGAGGCTGTTATTTCTGCCAAAGGACGATCTACTAAATATTGAATTTAGGTTTTTTTTATGGTGCCCAAATTTATGCACCTGTCTAATTTTGTTTAACGAATCATTGCACACTTTCTGTAAATCATATAAACTTCATTTCATTTCTCAAATTTCACTGTTTGTCCCCTATATGATATATTTTACTGATTTTTTAAAATCCAAACAATCAATGATTTATAAAGGTAAATCAGGAAAATTAACAAGGCTGCCCAAACTTTCGCACCCCACTGTACATGAATATGAACGGGAATTTGTTGTTCTGTAATAAAAGCAGTTAATACATTAAAAAAWATATATATATTGCAAACATATACGTGGTACTGATCAAATTACAGATGTGCAACTCTGTTATTGTTCTCTCCCTGCAGCCCTGTTATACATACAACTGCTGTATAGCCAATAGGGAAACTATGAACATTAAAATAATATTGGTGTGATTGTCGATTTTCTATATTTGTGCATAATTTATCTGAGTCTGGATTAGTGGAGTCCAGTTTTTTAATAAGCAAAGTTTTAAACCGTGTCTAGTTGGAGGAGAATACTGAGGTTCTGAGAAATGTCGGTTATTCTTGGTGCTTTCCCACAATCATGATTTCTGAGGTGGTTCTAAAAATAAAAACAGGGCACCTGCTCCCACCTGAATGCCAGCTAATTGACTGAAAACACCTGAATATAATTTTCCTTCATGCTTACCCAAAAGGGTCGCATATCACGTGACAAATGTTTGTTTCCTTTTCATTTTGAACTAAATTATTATTTCATTTGGGTTTTCATGTATTTTTAGAACTACCGTGAAAAACTGGTCTTCATTTAGGAAAATTAGAAACTCACAGACTGTTATTTTTAGCTAATTAATTAACTGACAATTTGAAACAGTCAAAACTGTGACTCTCAAAAGCAACACGCTGCTCTGTTTTGTAGCTGCGAGTCTCACACCAGATAAAAGCTCAAAAATAAGGACGTGCCTGGTAAGTTGGGCCCATCACGCCCAATTAAAACAATCTCAATATGTCTTTCTGTTTGAACCCTAAACTGTAAAATTATAATAAACCATTAAAACTGCACAAATGCGAACTTATTTCCTGTTTCGCCACAGTCTCAGAACCAAAGATCTGCTCAGGGAGTTTCTATGTAGATCTCCTTGCAGTCTCTGCATGCTACATTTAACATCCGCCTGTTCTCCAGCCTATATGCATCCCATGGTGTATCATGACAGTGGTTGTGTGTGGATTAGTGTGTGGGTGTGTGCTGGAGGAAGAAAAAAAAAGCAGAAGAAGAAGAAGCAGGTTTCGAGGCTTGAAAGGTGTGTCTGTCAGTGCCAGAGAAATCTTTAGCGCACACACACACACACACACACACACAAGCCTAGACTCTACTATAGACTTCCTGTGTCGGTGTCTGCCCTGATGAGTCAGAATCAGCCTGTTATATAAAACTTCAGATGAGAGGGGGGAAAATAAAGAAAAAACACATAGGCACACATGTGCCCCGTTAGCCTGTCCAGGTCCAGGCTTGTACTTATTTACTTTCAGCAGCTTGCAGTTCTATGCAAAGTGTGCCTTTAATTGTGACTCATCCCCGAGGAGTTTATCAGTCCTCATTTAGGCCTGTTTTCGCTTCAGCCAGTATTCCTTTAGTATAATGAGATTAGAATAGCTCTCTTGGCACAAATCAGCTATTTCTCATGCTCATTTGTACACACAAATTTGGTCCTGTGTGTGCGAGAGCAAGTGGGTGGATAGAGGCAGAAGGGAAGAAAAAAATAGGAATATGGACTAACTGGAGTGAATTTTCTTTAGAGGAAAACTATATGTTTTCAGTTGAGCAGAACCTGCCACCTCCACACCAGCAAAGCGACTCTTGCAGCCCTCTGGTCCCAGCCACGTGACTCCACCCCCTGCCCCACAAGTACTCCCCCCTACATACCAGACACTTATCTAGGGCGAAATCAGTACCAATGCAGATGTGAAGCTGCCATAGGCAGGGCTTTTATTTCCCACCCCAGCCCAGGTGATCAACAGGTCTGCAGAGATGAACCTACACCACCACCCAGGGGGTAAAATGTAAAACTACATGTGAGACGGAAACAAATGTATGCATTAAAACCAGCTGAACGACATAATTATGTTCTCTAAATGACCTGGATTAACTGTAAAAAGTGCAACTAGATGGTTTTTGGCAAGTCAATTTGCCATAAAATAGACAAGGTTTTCAAAGCAGGAACTCACAATTAAATTATAATTGGTCGACATTTGTATTTCATCTAAACAGACCATCCTTGACCTTATTTTATGGAGTTACTTATTTATGTTCATTTTTTAGTCATCCAAACAAAAATACTTCAAATAGTAAAAAAGGCAATCTTTTTAGGACAAACAATAATATTTTTCTCCTACGTAGTTTATTCCTACAAACAATGCATATGTCTGAAACAGAAATACTCCCAAATGAAAATTTCAGATACTTACAATGTTTTATGCTCATTTTTATTTGAACAATTTTTTTAAAATCTGGTTATTTTTCAAATTATAATCACATATCCAATGTTCATTTGTAGATAGTTTTTGATTATGTTGTATCAACTATTTCAAAAATTTATGATTGAAATTACTTTTTTATCTAACATTAACATAAATGCTTGATATCATCCATTTATTTTGCTTGGTAAATCGTTTTAGCTTTATTTTCAAAAGCATATTTGACATTGTTTTTTATTTTTGGTTCATAAAATGAAACTTATGACTATTCTCAAAGAGAAGTTGAACAACTGAGCATGTGTGCAGTGGCATTAAATACTGAAGAGTTAGCAGTCTAGACAATTTAATAGAAAACCAACTTTATTGGTAATGTTCTGACTGCAGTTATCAAAAATGTTTGTACAATTCACTAGGAGATATATGTTCAACTAAAATAACATTTCAACTTTAAGCGATTGTTATTCAAAATTGAAAAAGGAGATATATAGAGCTCAACAGAGAGTTTAAAAATGTACTGAAAGTCTGTTTAACTTTACCTCATGTACATTATATTTCTATATTATTTCTGAGTAGTTGGCGAAATATGTCACTACTCATGTAATAATTAGGTTTGTTTTCATTATATGTTACAACGACTTGCCATACATGCCATACTGTCACCGCTGGGGAACAGAAACGCCCCGCGTGCCCGTACGCGTGCGCAAAATAGGTAAACGTCACAGCTGAGCTCGCGCAAAGCCAGGGAGAGAGAGAGAGAGAGAGAGAGAGAGAGAGAGAGAGGAGGGGAGAGTGCGGCATACTTCCTCAAACGAGAGAATCACAGAGTGGAAAAAAAAGAAGAAGAAAAAAGAAACGAGAGGAAGAAAAGAGGCAAAGTTTCGTCGAGTCGCGGTTCAGAAAGAGCCAGTGCTGAGTTTGCAGGACGAGGTGAGACTGCCTTCATTCTGTTGCAGCTGAAACTTTGTCAGTCTTTTCAGGGTTTTTCTGTTGACAGAAAGTTGCTTCTTCGAGGCGCCTGCTTCTTTTCTTCTACATTTCTCATCTGTAGAGGAACACTCTGTTACGGTAAACTTATCTGTAGTTAGCCAGTAGGGCAACGACGGGGAAAAAAAGTCACTGACAAGTTTTTTTTATTTAAGCTGTTTGTGTCTCCTCCTTTTCGTAAAGCGACTGTTCTGTGATTTGCTGCTCAGGGTCTGGGGGACAGAACAAAAAACGGTACTGATGATAGCTGAGATGTCAGAGCGACCGCCACTTTACATTTATTCAAAAAATGTGTGAGCTTACAACTGAGCCTCTCTGTGTGGATTTCAGATTAAAGTTCACGGTCTTGATAGGTCACAAAATGTGTAATTACTCCAGCTGGCCTGCACGACAACATGGACGGGGGGTGCTGAAGAAAAACAATAATTTGTCAGGAGGACAATCTGGCTGCAAAACTACTGCTGTTTGAGTCAGACGAGATGTGACATCTGTGTTCAGCCAACTGACAACCAACCACATCCGTTGTTACATAAAGAAAATTAGATGCACGGACTGAAATGACTGGCTCCTCACTTTGACAATCAGAGCAGGTCTTGTTGTTGAACATTAAAACTTTAAGATTCTTAGTATTTGTGTCAGAGGAACCTGCCAGGACTTGTTATACTCACCATTAACAGCCAAAAAAAAAAAAAAAGAGAAGAAACTGCATAGACATGAGTCATTCCAAAATAGCTGCAGGTTTTAATTAAACCGGCAACACGTTACTGTTTAAGCTGTGTATTTTTATTTCTTTTTGCCCATCTTCCTCTTTGTTTATTTTAGCCATTTAATCACTGACATCATCTGCATTAGTTGCACAGGTCGTTAACGTCTAATTAAAATTGCATGAATTACACATAATCACCACTCTGCAGCCTTTGACGATAGTATCTCATCATAGCACTAGTTAGGTGCTCCTTCTAATTTGCTCTTTTTTTGTTTATTAGTTCAGATTAAGAAGGTAGATTTTGCAAAGCTGCATGTTTATATGTAATACAGTGCGTTGGACATGGCTCGTGAACTTAACAGATGGGGACAAATCGAAACTGCACACTGACAGACTGCCAGGCAGTCAATCACTCCTGCCCTCAATCACACAGTGGGCCTGCTATTGATTAACTAAAAAACAAACAAAAAAAAAAAAAAACACTGACATCACAGCTAACTGCAGCAATGAGCGGTAATGTTTCATCACTCTTCCTTCTCAGCACACACTTTTAAAAAAAGATTATTTCTGCATTTTTTTTTCTCATCTCAGTGTGGGAGGCTATGGTTTTTTTTTTTTTGTGAATGCCATCTAGGCCAACTGTGGAGCACAGCATGTTTGTGTTTGGATTAGCGACATGTTGAGGCTCGTTCTGCGTTTCTACTGTTGAGTAGAAACATTTTTGAGAGTAACGCACTAAAAAAACCACTCTGGTAGTAAAGTAAAACAAGTAGCAGAGGCACCATTTGACAATGAGTTTTTAAACTTGGTGGTTAGGAATTAGGAAAATAGACTCAGGGATGCCATGCGAGATTACCGGGCATTGCCTTTTGAACTGCACATACCATAAGTACTAAACTGTAGCTCTGTGACTAATGGAAGCAGTAAATGAGGCATGTGCTGCRCTGCACAAAAGGTGATAACCATTCGTTAGTATTTGTACTATCTACAGTTTACATTTGCAACAGCCTCTGTTTAAAACAGGTGTTTGTTGTTGAAAAGAGGTAAAAAAAAATTTTGCTTTAAGCTTTGGTGATGGAATTTAATAGACAAAAAGTAAATCTTTTGCGTTTCACAGTGATTTAACAGAAACTGCTGTCCTTGCTGACACAGCATGTTGTGTGTGGGTGCAGGTGTTTCCCAGTGAGGCAGAGGCAAGAATGTGTTTTCAATCAGCTTTTTAAACTCTGACAAAAGGAGCTCTGTCTTAAATTTCCACCTCTGATATTATTTGGTCTCACAGAGCTCCTGTTCCCACATGTGAGCAAATATACTTAGCACAAAAAGCAAGGAAATTTGTGTTTGTTAGATTATTTCTTTGTTGTAGCAACGCTTCTTGGTAATAACTCTTATACTGTTGGAAAGCCTGTTAATTGACCTTTCAAATGGTGCCACATTTAGAAGGAACATGTATTTGTGAGATGAACAGTAAAGCTGAGTATGTGGGTTACACTCATGAAAAATTAGCCAAATCTCTGCAAAACAGCTTATTTTGCTGTTGCTACTTTACCTGTTTTGAGCTTCTGGTACCCCCAGGTGCATCCTTCCTTACTTTTTGTGCTAAGTTTAGTTTTGCTTTGTGGATCATTAAAACTTTGTAAAGTGTGTACCTGGATATAAACTGAATTGTGTTACAGCATGTTGTCGCCGATTAAAGTCGCAAGGTTGAAACATTGTTAATCTCACTGAACAGGGGATCCTGTAACTCGTCACCATGGCTCCTTTCTTGAGAATTACCTTCAATTCGTACGACTTGGGCACCCTGCCTCCCTCTGCAGATCCACCCTTCTGCGCAATCAAGATGAAGGAAGCTTTAACAACTGGTGGGGAAATCTTTGACAGTGCATACAGAAGTTGCCTTTTTTGTAAACAGAATTGTGAGTCTTCTTCTTTGTGGTTTTTGAAAATGCAGAAACGCTTTTTTCCCCCCTTCTCTTCCGTTTTCATCTTTCGTTAGAACGAGGTAAGACTCTGGTTCAGAGAAAACCCACCATGTATCCAGCGTGGAAGGCCAGTTTCGATGCACACATCTACGAGGGTCGTGTGCTTGAGGTACTGCTGATGAAGACGGCCGAGGAGCCGCTGGCCGAGGTCAGCGTTGGCGTGTCGGTCCTTGCTGAACGTTGCAAAAAAGCCAATGGACGCGCTGAATTCTGGGTAGGATTCGAAACCACCTCCTCTTTTCCTTGGACTAATGTCTGAGGGACCTTTTATAACTGTCTGGTTTGTGTTCAGGTGGATCTCCTTCCTTCAGGGAAAGTGATGATGGCGGTGCAGTTTTTTCTGGAGGGCGTGGATACAGGTAAGAGGAATAAAAACTGATTCTTCGGAAAAGTTGTGCATTTATTTGTTGGTTACGTAACTATTACTTCCGATTGTAACATAAACTAAAACCAGTTCTGTTTGTAGACAGGCTGACTAGCTTTTTACCCTTTACAAAAATATCTGATCTTTTATAAACACTGAGACCCTGCAGGTCTTAATTTAGGCTATCAATCTTTTTCCTTTGTGCTGACATATGTTGATTTTTTATTTGTTCATGTTGTGCAAAAAAAATCTGTTTCCTTATTCTATCTGAAAGAGAGTAAGCACACTGTGAAGGAGGAAGAAGTTCCTACCATAAATCGTAGACGAGGAGCCATTAAACAGGCGAAGATCCACTTCATAAAGAACCACGAGTTCATCGCCACGTTCTTCAGACAGCCCACCTTCTGCTCTGTGTGCAGAGAATTTGTCTGGTCAGTTCAGTCACTTTATTAAACTTCACCTGCAACACCAGATAGATTGATACAGAGGATTTGAAAAGGCATGGAAATCTAATGTGTAGTCTCACATAACACTGACTGAGTGAATTCTTTCTGTCGGGTTAAAATATAAAACTCTCTTCTCTTGTTGAAAGATTTTGCATGCTTCTGCTGCAAACAACTAAGTGGAGCATGAAGACATTTTTTTTTTTTTTTACAAATGTCTGTCATTAGAAATTCAAATGCAGAGGCAACCTTTTCAATCACCTGGCCTTTTTATTGTCAGGTGGAAAGTTGGTGTTTCTTGGTGATTGTAAAAAAGGTGATTAATGCTCCTTTACATTGATGGCAGTGATAAAAAAACATCAACTTAGGAATGTTTATCATTCTTTAAWGGCTCAAGTGGCTACACAGTTTTCTGCTTCAGTGTTCGTTTTAGCTAACAAATAATAAAATATATATGTAATGACCTCCTGATGCACAGATTATCACATTCAACTTTTTCCTGCACAATTAATATGTCACCAAAATGCAAACTGACTAATTTTCATGTCTTTTTGACTCCCACAGGGGACTCAACAAGCAAGGCTATAAATGCAGACGTAAGTGAACAGCAATTAAAAAAAAAAGACTTTGTTCTCCTTGAAATAGCAAATTAATTTTATTAAAGGTATAATTAAATGAACTTGACTTAGAATAAAACTACTGTATGTGTTTGGCATATACTCAAGCAGTTAATCAATGTATTAAATTCTATTTGAACTTTTCAGAATGCAATGCAGCCATCCACAAAAAGTGCATAGACAAAATTATCGGCAGATGTACCGGCACTGCTGCCAACAGTCGGGACACTGTGGTATGTATCACACCATGTGTGTGAGCGTTTTCCATATGTCTCTAATTTATTGTTCAGTTGATTTTATCAGTTCAGTGTGGGCTTTTATCACTTTATTTTATTGTTGTTATTATTTTTTTTTAGCTTTTCAGATTGTTGTGGTGCTTGGTCAGAATTTAATTGATAAACACATGCTAATTAGCTCCTAGCTCCTCTTAGTCTTTTTTATGAACACCAGTATACCAGAAGCATGCATCTTTATTATTTTAGCTCTAGATCATTTAAATTGTTAAAAAGGGATGATACTGTCTTTTAAATCAAACAAATAAGTTTTATTTATTCTAGTTCTAAATTTCTTTTAATTGTAAAAAAATGCTGGTCTAAATAAAAGCAGAATTTATACAATATAAATCTGCCACTTAGTTTAAGCTTAAAAAATATCACATTTATTATTGAAACTTTTGTAGCTCAGAAAGAAATGTATTTGAGATTTCTTATTTTAATTTTATTTTTTTCATACAGTATTCTGTTTGAATGCTATTTTTGACTTGCTCGGGGGTTTGTTTTATGTCATAACTACATCTGACTTGTGGCCTTGTTGTGGTGCAAAAGTGCTCGCAAGTTTCATTTATGTTGTTTGTGTAGCTGATTTTTCTTTAGTTTAATAACAAGCAGAGATTTTCCACAAGTCTCACCTTTACAGAGCTTTTTCAGATGACATCTATGCAGACTTTTCTTTAAAGTTCCTTCCTTTTTATTCAACTATAAATAATATTCAGACATTTCAGTTTGTTGCCTTGAAAATCATGTCTGTAATGATTTCCAGCATTTATTTTTACCTCACAAGCAGTAATGGTGGTCAGATGTGTTGCTTTTTCTGGTTAACGTGGGCAGAGCATCTGGTGGGAGGGTGGGCTGATACCCAGTTTTAATGATGTGTASATGCCACTCACTCTGGTATAATAATTGATGCCCAGTTTGATGCATTTTTATTCAAGGATGCAGAAATCTCTTCTGACTTTGTCAGATCTGCAGCCAAATGTTCAGCTGACTTTTTATGGAAAATTTGTTCCATTTAGGAGTCTGCTTWCTGATGTAATAACATCATTTATATTCAAATCTAGTTCTGATTTTCAAAGGGTGCTCTTTAGATAACTAGTGGAGATCATGAAAGTCCAGTGGACTTAATGCAGGTGATGCAAAAGTAATTAAGCACAACCCATTTTGATTAAGTCCAGAGACACACCTGGGAGGAAACTTTCTGTCCAGCAACTTGACGACTTTCTAAAAATAAAACTGAGGGAGAAAACGATTATGGCAGGTACCTACTTTTTACAGAACACAATAAAAGAAACAATTTTTATTCCCAACAGTTCCAGAAGGAGCGGTTTAAAATCGACATGCCGCACCGTTTCAAGACCTACAACTACATGAGTCCCACCTTCTGTGACCACTGTGGCAGTCTGCTCTGGGGTCTGGTTAAACAAGGCCTGAAGTGCGAAGGTACACTGCAGTTATGATTAAACAGATGGCAGCTTGTGTGTAGCGGCGTTTTTGTGATTTATAGATCCCCCCCCCATGTTTTCAGATTGTGCCATGAATGTCCATCACAAGTGTCAGGATAAAGTAGCCAACCTGTGCGGTATCAATCAGAAGCTGCTTGCTGAAGCGCTAACACAAGTCAGCCAGGTGAGTTCATGGACATGGTCCTAAATCACTGAGTGGTCCAATCAAGTGCTGATAGCTGTTTAAGGCCACAGTAAAGTCTAACAGTACATGTTTTTGTTTCTGTCTTGGTAGGTAATCACAGTTTATGTACCTCTGAAACAGATTAATAGTCACAAAATTGTACAGATTCCTTTTCAGGACTTATTTTTCTGAAGAAGAATTTGAAAAACTGGTACCCTTATTTACATGATGTTCAAAGTATTTGAAAAAAAAAACAAGTATTTATATTGCTTACCAAGCTGCATATAATGTTGAGACTAACTTGCAAGATCATCTAGTGAAAGTATTTTAAAAACAAATATTTATTTATGTTAAAAGCAGTAACATATGTTGCTCATGTGTATTATCTGGAATATTTCCGCTCCCATATTGCAGCTTTTGTTGACGGTTTTTTCAACATGACTTTAATGTCAACCATCTGTTTGTCTCAAGGTGTAGAAGAAGCAAATAGTTAACTTGTTAGATCTTTACAATCCCATGTCTGAACAAATCTGTTTTATTTTAGAAACAATCTCAGGTCTGATAAAGACAAAAAAATCAGATTAAATGTGTTTTCTCTCTATGTACTACATTTAGATGGATAACAAGTTATTTGTCAGTGTGTTTCATGGTCTGTTTTTCTCCCATCCTTTTTCAGAAATCWTCGACTCGTCGCTCGGATCCTAACCTGCCTAACCTGAGTGACATTGGAATATATGATGAAGTAAACAAGCTTGCTGGGCTTGACATCTCCGGTCAGTATTTTTCTTTATTTATTTATGTGTAATGATGTTTCCATGCATTCATGTATTCTGTAGACACATAACTACCATCAAAGTTCTCAAATTAATATGTGACTAAATATTTGCTGTGTGTGGTAACTTGTTTGGCCATTAGAAGGCTCTCCCTATGGCAAACTGTGGGAAGGCTCTGTTCAACGACCACAGTCTCGTATTACCCATCTGACTCGTATCAACGTGGACAACTTCATCTTCCACAAGGTGTTAGGAAAAGGCAGCTTTGGCAAGGTACTCGATTATTTTACAATTTTCAACTTTTTATACTGAAATTGAAAATGTAGACCTCTTAGGGAATGGATTGATTGTAGATGTTTAATTAAACGGTTATTTTCAGCTAATATACAAACATTTACATCKTTTATCTTGTAGGTTCTCCTGGCAGAGCTCAAGGGAAGTAGAGAGTATTTTGCAGTGAAGGCTCTAAAAAAAGATGTTGTGCTGATGGACGATGATGTGGAGTGCACTATGATAGAGAAGAGAGTCTTGGCTTTAGCCTGGGATAACCCTTTCCTCACTCATCTTTTCTCCACCTTCCAGACAAAGGTACTCCCCCTTCCAAACTTTTATAAATCTGGCTACATTTTACTCCAAATTATGGATTAAAATCCCATTTCTGACACTGAAAATGAATCTTATCCACAGGAGCATCTGTTCTTTGTGATGGAGTATCTGAATGGAGGGGATTTGATGTTTCATATTCAGGAGAAAGGGCGCTTTGAGCTTTACAGAGCCATGTAAGTCTCACCTCCTATCATCTATGAAACAGTTAAAAGCTGGTTCTTTTCAAGAGAACCTTTCATTCCTCCCTGTTATCATGTGAATTAAGTCAAATAAGCTATAGGCTGGCTTATTTCCATTAGTTCTTGTTCAGTATCAGACAGGCCTTGTAAAGAGCAAAGAACTTGCCACGCGTGTTCTGTTGCGTGTTTATGAGAAGGTATCGGTTACACCCACCTTTCACCACACTGTGGGAATCCCTCCAGAAAAACAACGGCAAACTGGTATAAATAAAAAAAAAGTGTGAAAAAGTACAAAACTTGGTCGCACTTCAGCAAACAGAAGTCTTACTGTAAAAAGTCCCACTTTACTGAAGCATTTCTCATTAGATGCTGTGAATCTCTCAAAATCAGCTTAAAGTGTAACTTACCCCCCTGTGAAAAGATAACTCCGCCCCAAGGCGAAATTTGAAAAATGCATCAAAGTGGGTAGGGGAGGGGGTGTGGGTAGAGGAAGGGGGGTTAGAGAKMGGAGGTGTGGCCAGGACGAGAGAACGTGACAGCTAGCATTAGYATAATTGATGCTACATGGAAAGTGACCACAGTATCACAGACAGTTACATCTCTGAACGTCTGAGGTGGAGGATTTTCACCCCACACCAGCCTCGGACAGAGGAGGAGCAGCGCTCCGACAGCCTGACAGAAAAAAATAAAAGCATACAGCTGCTCGCATGATCGCTGGTTTAAATCAGGAATAAAAGTAGTTTACCTGTATAAAGAGCCCTAAAAATCCATAAATTTTGCAGAAAATCCTTACAACTCGCACCCGCGGGGGGGGGCGCTGCGGACATGAAAGCGCTGCTGCGAAGCAGGAGGAAAGGAGAGAGGGAAAAGTAACTTATAGCGGCAGAACAGGTTGGAAGATGGCTGTTTGATGTTATTTATTGTTTTTTAAATCATCCTAYAGGCTCTGGCATGTTAGATAAATTTGAAAATGAGGTTTTTAAAATATCCGTAAGACTTGAAAAAATCTGTGAGATTAATCTATATGTCCGTTTACCTGCAAAATGATGTCAAATCTTTATAATTTACAGATAATCTGTATAAGTTGCTGCCTTTCTTTCCCTCCTCTGGTCTCTTTCTCTCTCTCTCTCTCTCTCTCTCTCTCTCTCTCTCTGTGTGTGTGTGTGTGTGTGTGTGTGTGTGTGTGTGTGTGTGTGTGTGTGTGTGTGGAGAGAGACAGAGAC